GATTTAATTACAGACCACTTTTCCAAGAAAAGGGCAATAACTGTTTTTATAATATTTTATTAATTTTCCAATTTTACATTTAAGTATTTAAAAAGCAACGTGGTGGCTGGGTTAATCAATAGTTCGATAACAAAATCTTTAGTACAAATCTCAAGTTACAACATCAAATATTTCCTCTCTTTTTCCCTTAACATTTACTGTCTTGTATTTAAGCTAATACAGTTATTATATCAACTCAGTAAAAACATCATTATTACATTTATCAATAAATTTTAGCTTATAAGTATCTTAATTATTTTTACATTCAATCTTCATAAACAATCCATATCCTGTTACTAATTTTTTCCCATTTTAGTTTCCCATCAATATTCCAATTTAACCTTTAATATTTATAATTTTCAGGCTGTAGGTAACCAAAATTTCCCTTATCTCAATTCATAACAGAATCTAATATCCAAATTTCTTCTGATTTAAATAGAAAGTCTTTTCCATTTTCAGTGTTATCACTCTCTTTTCTGGATTTTCCATTAACTGTATTAGTTGGTCAATTGAGTTCTCTGTCTTAATGTTTGAATATTTAATTGTTCCACTTGTTCTGTTATCTTGTGTGTTGTTTGGTTGTAGTCAAAGTTTGGGTTTGTGTATCTAAGCTGGCGTCTTGACCTTTTATGTTGGGTCTTATTTTATCACAAGCTGAAAGAATGGTTTCATGTATTGCTTTCAACATGGAAAGGATCTTTTCCTGGTCTTGATCCATCTCTTTCACGTGTTTATAAATAGTCTTTATAGTAGAAATTGTTTGTCAAGCAAGATTTTATAGTCCAAGATATTTCATCATCTCATATAGTAACCAATATTCCTCAAATAAACAGATAGGAAGGAAAGTCCCCATGTAAAACTCTGAAAGTCAGTAAAGGTTTACATTCACAGTTCAAGTAGGCCAGTTATGCCGCCCAGCTGTTCTCTTACAGCTGAGTTTCTTACAGGTGGTGCCAAGGTCAGAAGAATCTTATCTAAGGTCTGGGCTTTGAGCCAAGTCTCTTTTAGGAAATAAGTTGTAATACCACACTTTGCCACAAGATGTCACCAATACTGTTTAAGGTTTTTTAAGTCCAAAATTTTTATAATCCTATAAAAGCAAAAGTCTCCAATAAAAATAGGAAAAAATTTGGTCCCCAAGTTTCAGGAACATATAAATCCAATTAGATTAAAGTTGTTCTTTTAGTGCTTTAATCCCCCTGGGTAGTCAGTCGCCGCTATTCTTAGAGGGTGGGATAGAAATTCTCTTCCCTCTCTCAGGGGGAAAGATACTTCAGGCAGCTTTTACAGGAAAAGAAAGTACTTAGGGTAAAGAGAAGATCAGATCTCACCCAGTTTCATCTGCATTGCTTTCGAAGTGCTTGGTGGTAAGTTCATCTGTCTGCAGCCTAGTGACTGGCCATATTACTATGGCTGGTCTTTCCTTCGCCGGTTTGGAGAGCTGCCCCAGATCGAGCAGAAGGGCTGCCGCCCTCCCGTGATCAAGCGGGGGTCTCCTCCTTGCTCATCGCCCCTACAGCCAAGTCAGTTTTATGTCCATACTGGACAAATATTAGAAGAGATTGTCAAGTACTATGTCTGAAACCACTTAATAAAGAATGCTAGCCTTACCAGGAGCCAGCATGGATTTATCAAGAATAAATCATATCAAAATAATTTCTCTTTTGACATTTTGATAGATCAAGGGAATGGGGGGGGGGAATGAAATGTACCTTGATTTCAGGAGAAAGTTAAATAATAATACTGATATCCTTGCAGACAAGATGGATAAATGTAGGCCAGAAAATAATACAGTCTGTGGGATTTACAATTGGTTGGACAATTTCACCTAATAGATGCTCATAAATTATTTTGTGTGCTCCTGGAAAAAAGAATAAAATCAGGCCTCCCAGGGCTCCATCCTCATCAT